CTTATATAAAAAATGTTTCTAAAATTATTTTAAATTGAATTATGGAATAAAATTTTTTTTATTAAATTGTCAATTTCGTCCCTTTCTCAAATTGTAGTCATTTTGATATCAATTTCTGACCAGAGTCTAAGGCTATTTATTTGTAGGTTTTTTCTTTTGGCGGGGGCTTAAGCAGGTTCTTAGGTACATGTACGAATTTAATTGGTAGAGTTACGAGCTAGCCGTTATAGCAAATCAATACTATAAACATTACTAATCACATTACCGAATTATATTTAATAGAGTTTCTTAGTCTTCAGATACTGTAACATTCACACTTCTACTAAAACTGGATTTAAGAGTAATGAATTTTAGATTTATTGATATAATAGACAGCGGTTGATAATAGGCCAGCAAATATAAGATCAACGAAAGTCGCTATTAAAAATATCAAAATTTAACAGTTAATCATTTTTAAATTATAACATACATATAGATCTTGAAGTCTTTGGATCGTATGCATTTTACTATCGATATCAATAGGAAAATTAACTTATCGCTGAACTACAAGACTAAATTAAAATAAGGCTTCTTTAATAGATGTATACTATTTAGTCAAGATTTGATAAGAGATCATAGACAGGATATAATGATAAGACGATGAAAGCTTTTTTAAAGTTTTGCTATGATTCTTTACTAAAATTAATCTTTATTTATATCAGAAATTTATTAAATAAATAAGTACTGCAAAGGGAAAATCTGGAATTCTTTATCTAATAAGAATTACAGGTTTTCTCTTCAAATAATAAATGAAAAATTTTATTTGGTTTTTTGCTTTTTTGCCGTTTCAGTTTTTTTTAGCCTTCCAGGTCCATATTTAGTAGGACAGACTTCTTTTGCCATTGTCTCATCATTTTTGGCCTTCCAGGTCCACGGGCTTCTTTCAAATGTTGGTTTTTTTTGTGATCAAGAACTATCGAGATTGTTGGAAAATACTTCTCACAAATAGAACAGGTGTGTTTTATATAATTATCAGCCATGAAGGGGCAATGTTGGTCATACTCCAGTATTTTTTCCTTTCAAAATACTCTAATGGATGTATCAAATTAATATAGTGGCCGTCTTTCCTCATTACTAAAGGGAGATAAAACTATTATTTGAAGCAAGAAGGTTACCAGCTTCCTCGCACCTTTTAGGGGAGCAACATTTGATATTATTACATTTCTTTACATCTAAAGAGTATCTGCAAATCCTTGCATGGATCTCTATCTATTCCCAAGATATATCTGAAGCTGAGGTACTTATCGTATCAATGTATTCAGTCAGAACTGGCTTTCTGAATATTTTGTCCTTATTCCACAGGTTACAAAGAAGGTTATCCGCATATTTAAAATTTTTTTCTGCTAGCTCCGGGTCAACGACTTTACTCTGTGAGTCAAGGTGAGTACTATATTTGTTAATAGACAGAACTATAGCTGCTAGTTTTGTTGAAAGGGATGCCATACTCCTTTCAACAGGGTTGTATACTGAATGACCTAGAGTAATTAATAGAATAAACTAATGTTTAGTTGGCTATTTATTGTAAATTTTTTAATTGATTAATATTACAATTTCAACTACTATTTTAAGTGGAATTACGATTTTGACAAATTTGATTAGCTAATTAAATAATTTTAGTCAATACTAGATCACTAACCTGGAGCATGAGTTCTAACGGTCAAATAATCGAGATCGAAAGAGTAAAAGATATCACAATATTGGGTGATATTTTTCAGATAACGAGGATTTTCATCAGGGCCTCCATCTACAAGGAGGACCCAGATTGGTCCGATTTTATTATCAACCTTTAACATATCATCAAAACTGCCGTTATTCATTAAAGAATATAGATCATTCATATGGATCACTAAGCTTGTTTCTATCTTGTATTGTGGGCGGATGTATATTGACAATTGGCCTTTACGAAGTGTGTCATTTGTATCACTTGGATCGATGATTAAATAAACAGATAGAGTAAGTTTCTGTTATAAACCAACAGGAAAGTCGTGGTCCGGAATAGTAACTGGTTTATTGTAACTTTGTATAGTTTTAAAACTTTTTCCAACTGCAGGAATGCCGAGGGGAACCTTGGCTTTATCATCTTGTGACACAATTACTGAAAAGGTCGGAAATAGGACTGCAAATTCTCTTGCTGCCTTTACAGAGGCAAAACAATAATGAACATCCTGATGATCTGCTCTTTCATTTCTTGAG